TCATAGCAAGACCTGCATGCATGGTATCTTCTCCTCCCTCTTGGCGGAAATGGGCGTATAAGACGTCAGCACGGGAGAAGCTCCTAAGGCATAGTGGGCAAATAACATTTATGGAGGTCTTCTCAAGAACCTTTTTGAGTGTGTTCAACTGCCTTTGCAAGCTGGCCATGTTGTGCCTGGGAGGAGTGATTGCAAACTTCAGATCTACGCACTCAGAGTGAGAGTCTCGAGGGGTTATATAGGAACAGACCTCGCCTGGGATCAGGGACTTGGCTCAAACGACCGGCCACTATTCTTCTTTTTTGAAAATCCACAGCTAAGGCTAAAGTACGACATGCCAGGGGTGAGACGCATTGCCCTGTTGCTGTGCACGACGGCTCATGCACTACCGGAATACCGTTTTACGTCAATACACGCATATATCGTCCTGGACATCGCGCCTATTGGCTTCTCCAATACATGACTGATTTAATCAAACTGACTCGGTGGTCCAGACAACGATCGGTTAATCCATGTAAGATTTTTCTTTGCATTTTCACGGGCTCTTTCCAGCTCTAGCTCGTCGAACCTCCCTTCCCTGATTGAGTTGGCGATATCATCCAAGCTCTGGATGTGCCAACCAGCACGAGCAACTGCAACTATTGCCGGTTGCCCAATTGCCTTGAAGTTGCTCCAGAGAAGACGGTCCCTAAACCTGCCACGAAGGCAAGTAACCACGAGGTCGTCGGGGCCTCTCTCCACGCCAATTAAGTCTATAGTCTAATCCTTTGTTAGGTTAAAAGTATGCAATATACCTAAGTGCCTAACCATATAGTCTGGAAGTCTGGTCTTATCTTTTACCAGCCATTCTCTCATGCCATCCCAAAGCAGTATAATGCTGGCAAGACAACCCATCGCTGTTCAAGGTGAATAAGATAGGAAAGCGACGTATCAAGCAGTGATCCTGCAACAATATCGGGTCTGAAATTAGTGTTTTGCTCATGCAGATGGTATGGCCCAGAGTCTCTTTATAACACCTTGAGAAGCTTCCTTCCCGTTTCCTCTTTGCAGCATTACGGACCAATTAGTGTATTACAGGATACTAGGTCAATGCCTGGGCTACTTGATGTGATTCGAATAGCACAGTGTCGCGAAAGCGCGATGGAGGGTTTGAGCATGGTAAGTGTGCAGGCCTCCTCACCTTCACACAATTGATCCCCCTTGAAATCTAAGAATGGCTGGTTATGTGACAGTAAAGGCTGGTATCACTGCCAAATATTTCAATTGCTTTGCTTAGCACGCTATAAAAGCCAATCGAAGCCATGATGCATTTTGCTATAAAGAACTTCCGATTCGTTCCGTTCTGTTCCGTTCCGTTCTGTTCTGTTCCGTCCCGCTTTGTTCCGTCCCGCTTTGTTCCGTTTCGCTTTGTTCCGTTTCGCTTTGTTCCGTTTCGGTCCATTCCGGTTTCTTTCTGCTTCACTCGGTTCGAAGCGTTTTTTCAGAGTGCAGGGTGGTTCCAAGTCCCCCCCCAAAGACAAAGAGATAAGCACCAATACTGTTGCCTGAGCAAAAGAGCAAAGCCTTCGAAGCCTGGATACCGCCGGCCTTTCAGAACGACTTCTCGGTCAGGTCGGCTCGCTGTTATCACGTGGTTAGGAGGGAGTTTCCCCCCACATGACGCAAATCTTACTGCCAACTATCTTGGAGGCGTGATCGTAAGTTTGGGCACACAATTCCTGCCTTACGCAAAAGTCTGGAATTAGCAGATGACAGACTGAGCGCTCAGTCTATGTCTTTGAAGTGCATAACTTGACAATATTTTGGCAAAATCCTCTGAATATAGCGTGCACAGGAAAGCCACAATGGGTGCGGATCAGTTCTACTCGAAAATATCCGTGGATGTGGAACGAAACGAGGAGATTGTGGAAAAAGCTAAAGAGGTCTGCTACTTAGAGACTTATTCGGAGATATACAACGCTCACATATCATATTTAGTTAGACGCGCGATTCCAAGAACCCCGAGTTGAAATCGATAGTCACTGGACATCTTATATTATTAAAGTGGTGCAAAGCTTCCCTGCCGATCGTTTAATTGTGTTTCGCCCTCAACAGTCAAGTAAACTCTTGGGATGTATCAGAGTCTACAAGGCTGGGACCACAACAAAGCTATGGGATGTGTTTGATACGGATGGCATATTCATTGGCAAGGTCCCAAAAGATTGCGCTTTCGAGGCAATGCTGGTTCAAGTGAAAATGCTCACTCTGACAAATCACGAGAGTTGAAAATTACTGGCAACTTGTACTCATAGCCCTTTAACACCGCCTCGGTTCGAGGAATGGACAAAACAAGTGATGCGACACGATCTTGAGTGGGAACCGTGATGATTGCTGAGTGCGGAGAGCTTTTTGAACTTTTGTGGAGCTGATAGAAGACATCCAAGAGCGTCGGAGGTACCGCAAAGGCCACCTCGAGTGGCCTTTCTGTTTCAGGATGGGATTCGTTTCTGTCGTGCATACTTGTCGAGCGTTGCATGCTGTCATCTTCTGCAGTCCCTCGTAACCGAGTCGCATCTAGGATTCTGAAATGGGACATCATTTGCATAGGACTTTGGGTAGACTCGTCATCTCTCCTGATATCCTGATATTGGTCTATAATGTCAGTTTATCTGCAATGCCTAAAGAGAAGTTGTCATACTGGCTGCTAGAAGAATATCACTATCACCAGGAACGGGCCGTTCTGTGGAATCATTCCTTGAAAACACTTGTTCTTCTGATGTCCCTTTGCCTTCCCGCATTCGATCTACTGCATTCCAAAACTCAGAAGTCTGCTTTGTTAGCAGTTCTGGAAATTGCACGCTTCGAGACCATTCTTTCAATGCTGGATAGAAACCACTATATGAAATTTTTGGAAGGCTTGAAACAGAGTATTCGATCATGCAAAGATAAAGTGTCTCGCGACCGGCAATGGCCAGGACCTTGGAAGCGAACTGCCGCGCATATCCCTGTACATGCTTCTGGGTCCTTGACCTCGCAAGATTCGAGCCATTCAACAACGCTTTCCATTTTGTAAGCCGTCGAGATTGAAGGTTATTCAGGGGTTCAGGGTCATCAGAACCGAAAATGAGAAGAAGTTGTCCAAGTTTCTTTAGGAAATTTGTGGCTTGCTGAGCAGAGTCCATGTTGGCAATCATGAACTGGCAATGGCGGGTTCGGAGAGGGGAATGGCGTAGCACGGAACGGAAACGGAACGGAACAGAACAGAACAGGAGAGGCAGGCTAGGCAGTCCTATTAAGTAGTTTACTTCCCCCGCATGATCGAGACGTGGTGGTGGATCGTGTTAACATTTTATGGCTTGTTCCACCAATCATCGGTTCCAAAACTGGACGCTCTGTTCCGTAGTGTTCCGTTCCGCCTAGTTTGGGAGAATTCGGCTTATATAACTCGCAATTTTAAAGCCTTCCCGCACGAACATCACGCGTACTCTGTCTGAAATCTTCTGTAAATGTCCAATCGGAGGGCCCCAAAAGCCACAGGATTGTGTTGGCTAAAAGGAAGGGGCACATAATGTACAATAGCATTTCTTGACTACCTTTCCTACTATTACCCACGGAATGGGCCTGCACGGGACGAAACAGGACGGGACGGAATGACGACGAGGGGCTGATGCCTGCACCATCCCAGCGCGAGGAATCATGCTAAGGGAAATGAAACCTATCACCCCCGTTGCTTCATCTGTAGATCCTCGTCTTAGAGGAAGTACATAGCTGGTCAAAACTAATGATTGGAGTGTATCCAACCGTAACCCACGGGAACGCTCTGGAGCACATAGCCGATCGCATCTAGCGTCCGATCTCCATCACTACAGCGGTAGCAGGTGTACTAAATGCTTCACCAAAAAGCATCAGGGAACCACGATTACCTCTCAATTAGACTGGGTACTGTCAGCTGTAAGTTTCAGGTGGCAGGCCCATCGGCCAATCACCATATAGCTGCCGCCCCCCGTTCCGAGTCGGGTGGCCGTCGATTGGCCGCATTGGTCAGCGTGTGCTAGCCGGGATTTGTGAGGCGCCAGCTGTAGGATAGAAGTCTTAATAGCACCAGTTACTAGCAAGCATGGACTGTTGCGGGATAGCTGCTAATTATGGAGGAGGGGTTATTGCCTGCAGCCCCATCCCAACGCTACGGAAATTCCTAATGGCTATCAACCTCTCACGCCGATTTCCGTTATCACCCCAATTCCAAAGTGGGGCATCTTACTGGTCAAAAGGGTGAACTGAATGGATGCTACCATCATCTAATACGGTGCCTATGCAGCCGCACAGACTGTCACAGAACTTAAATCACGCGTTTCAACCCTTCCCTACGCCACAATGAAACGGCTAAACGTATGATTTCTGGACGTGTCGGGGGAGAGATTTTTGCTGTAGTCAATCACAGTCAAAGACCTTCGGGCATCTATGTTTTGTATGATAACCACTTCTTCCATTTTCCAGCGGTAAATAGGACCACGCAATTGTATCCTGAGTTAGACAATGCTGAAACCGAGCGGTGGCAGGGTTCCGACGGCCACACATTGTGCTGATACCGTGATTTTCAGGCCGATCATATGCTTGGCGACGTACATGTAGCTAGCGCCTGAAGCCCACCATTTACGTATCTTACTCCGCTTTGAAGCGCTGTGACCAGGCTTGCATGACAGGGGGATCTGTATGCGTTGCCTTCATCCGTTGTTCCTTCTGATTGGTTCTTGAGGTCTAGCATTGCACACTGAATATCCTTAGATTGATCATAACCTAGGCTTAGTAAGGCCTGCTTTAAGAGGAGAACACTCTCTGATCTCGATGTATAAAAGCCATGAAGGTTGGCATAGCAGGAATCATGGTTTACTACCTCTCCAGCTCTCCAAGATCCAAGTAATATTGTCTTCACATTTCTGTCAAAGATACACTGCCTTTCATCATCGCATCCACCATGACTAGCGAGACTACTATCTATAATGTTTACCGAGTTGTTTTCAGTCAGAGCCGCGGACCAGACCACGAGGGCATCGCTCTAGTCCCTGCCCAAAACGCAAATCAGGGTGCTGGCAGATTCTACCATGTCCAAGGGGATGTTGGGGTGGGAATGGATTACGACATGAGACCAGGATACCGTTTCGGCGAGAGTAAATCCTACAAAAGCTCCACCTTGCAGTTTCAACTGCCAAAGACACAACTTGCACGTTTCGAAGAGATCACACAAAAGTGTCCTCCTCCATACGACCCCAGAGTATTGACGGAATCGAGTCCTGATCCGCCCGTGCGGAATTGCTCCAACTGGGTTGACGACGTTTTGACGGAAGCAAAAACACTGGCCTGATCAACTTTGCACATATCTGTAGTGGTACAAGCATGTTTCCAGAACTTATTCTCAACTGGCTAAAGGGGAATGTTTGAGGAGAATGATGGTGATGGGCGAATGAGAGAACGGTGCATGTGACATAGTTATTATCACCAAAGTGTTTCGGTCAAGAATGAATGCACCGCATATTCGGAATAATACGGTTCGAGAATTTGCGCTAAATATTCAGTCCAGTCATTCTGCCATTTCCACACATAGAGAGCTTTTGAAAATTCCCAGTATTCGGGATACCAGCCGCTGAACTCCCAGTCTAGGATTCCTGTGACGTTCCCATTGTTGACCATGATATTCTGAAGGCGAAGGTCTCCATGGGTAAACACAATACGATGTCTTCTTTGAGAAAGCATACCGGCTAAGACATTCTTAATGCGACGTTTCGGTGCCCTTGATTGATATGCATCGATAATTGCATTGTTAAAGTCACCTTCCGAATCGAAGGGTCCTTAGTGGCGTCAGTGCCAGTAAAATATGTGTTGAGAGACCCCACTCACCCTTTATTCCATAACCCTCCAGAATTGGATCAGTAACAGGGCCAGAGTCAACGGAGCCTATGTAATGGCTGTGATCAATCTGGCGGAGCTCGCGAAAATACCCTTTCAGTTGGTTGGCGACTCGACTTTTTGTGACACCGTCATAAGCTTCCCAGGTCTTGTCCAGGCTCTGACCTTCAACGAAGCTCATGAATATGTAGGTATCGAAAAGACTTCCATAGTCTTCAATATCTCTGTCTATTGGGCCGTAAGAGTAGAAAGCAAAAATCTTCGGTACCGGTACAGTTTCCGTATTTTGTTCGACAAACATCATGCTCTTCGCCTCGCTCAGTGTGACATGGGAGCCGAATTTGACAACAACTTCGGGAGATATCTTCGCTATCTTCACGCCGCCCCAATCGAATATGGTATTGCTGGAGTTAATTTTTGTGTTGATGCTGTCTGGATAGGGTACCGCGAAACCAGGGGCTGAGTAGAGGATATTAACTTGTGGCCGACAGTCGACAGACTGGGCGTTCTGGTTTTCTTCTGCGCCGGACATGGTAAAAAGAGAACAGACGCGATAAGTTTTTGAGGTACTGTATACTGGGGTAAACAGACAGCGGAGAGAGGCAAGGCAGGAATCAAGCGATCTAAGGAGATACGTGAAACATGCTGCTAGAACAGGGCTATGCTGCCTTATATATGTCCAAACGCGCGTAGGCTGCAAGAAGTGGGCCTAACGGAAAGCGGCTCGAGCTAACCTGATATGGTAATCCCAATGTTTGTTCCACGAACTGGTGCTCTAATAGCCCCTGACCGGATCATACTGGTTAGATTGTACAATCTCCCGTAGAGATTCCGAATATATACTATCTAGGATGAGGTAGAGCAGCCCTACGCCTGAGTAATTCTGCTGGAGCGGCCGGATACGAAATATGTACTCTTTTTAAGAACGGCCGGAATCGAGTTAATACTCTCCTGTTTCCGGCATCCCAGGTGTCTGATGCTGATGGCCAATCCCGCAAAATTGTTGTGCACAGAACAAGTTCCACGGTCGGCGTAGACACAGTCGACCCGTGAAAACAATGTTAGATCAAAAGATTATGGAAAGGGAGAAAAAAAAAAAAAAAAAAAAAAAAAAAAAGAAAAAAGAAAAAAAAAAAAAAAAAAAAAAAGAAAGGAAGTTACATCGACATAGGCCAGCATTCTACATAGGAACCATTATATAGGCCAGTATCCTACTTAGGCACTACCATAGCTTGGCGAATGACCGTCAAAAATTTGAACAACATCCTGGCATTTAGCGTGACTTGGACGCTGTGGCGACTCGCCATGGTGGGGCGATGAGATCAACAAAGAAACGCAAAAGCGGTTGACATTTCACCCTACTCGGAAGTGTCTATTACTCGTATGGCTTGGGAAGTGTTGTACGGCTAGAGCACATAATGAAGTCAAGGCTTCATAAGCAAGTAAATCCGGAGCTGATTAACCAGCTGGCATATCCTGAAACAATATAGTTGCATGGGAAGAAGCCATTCGATACCTAGACCAACAATTTTTTTTTAATTTCCCTTGCATGATGAGTACAGCCTCCGCTTTTCGCACGTGAGGGGGAGGGTTGATAGTGAACTAAGGGTTGAGTCCCGAAACAAAATCCAACACGGACGTTGGGACTTCCTGAGCACAAAAAGAGAGCCTTGGACGCTATTTGCTCCTGGGCTATGAACTTGTCACCGGCCGGGCTTCAAACTTCAAATTTCTTGACCATCGTCTTTGCAAAGATTTCAAATCCCTTCCAGTGAACCTCCGACCGAATTCCTCCTCGATATGTTCCCATTCAAGTTTTCGGTACACTAATTCACGAAGGAGCGCATCTTCCGCATCTGAGTAAGGCCGGCCCCGATGGCGGCTGGGGAATGAACGAGATGCTTCCGCTCGAGCCCTTGCCCTGGTTCGAGGGCCCCTGCCCGTGGCGAGCTCGGCGTACCCCAACATGCTGCACGCGGGCTCCTTCCGACGATGACACTTTGACCGGGAGATTCTAGATGGGCTATACACGGTAGTCTCGGTCACAGGCTGGAGCCCTCTGCATCCAGAGAAAGTGACTTGTGATTCTTCATCCAACTGGCAGGAAGCCATCGAATCCTCTGATCCCAACATATTGGACAAGCCACTCTTGCTCCCATCAGAAAGCGGAATCATTGGGCTGATCTCACCACTTCGGCCGTCATCGGCAACATCGGGTTGGCTTTCGCCGGGCACGCTTATCCCACGAACTTTGGATGCAGCTGAACTTGTTTCGGAACCGCTATCCATATTTTTGTGGGCTACTGAAGCTTCGCAGCTATCAGTATCACTTCTTGTCGGTATTCTAGAGAATAGTTCATCTGGGTGGAGCAAGTCGTCGCTGTTAATGCTGCTTGTCTCATCACAGTCATCCTCAAGCCCGGTGACTGAACCTGGGCGGGGCAAGATCACTGGTAGAAGAATGAGCCTCGGGCAACAATATATAGTAGATTTGGACGAACCTTCGCCGGATGGACCAATAACGCTATCTGCGCGAGGGCTGCTACACACCCCATTGGAAGAAGCAGTTGCGTGATGGTTCGCAAAGGGCCTGTTCTGGCTATTTTTCGCAGGGATGGATTTGCCATGCTCAACGTGCTGAGCTGCCACGTCGCGAAATGCGGTCTTAGGCTGGGGGAAAAGGGAGTGTAGGCATGGAAGTACATGGAAATTGGAGGTTTCGGAGGCAATGGGTGCTTCATAAGGGTTGGGGAACGTGAGCCAGGGAAATTGCAGGGTAAAGAAGAGGAAGTTAAGGCACCATTATAAGAAATCTGGCGATCCATCTTGGAAAAATGAGCAAAAAGTGGGAAGTAGTCTGGGGACAAAATTGTTGGGAAATGGATTATGCTGTCTGCGTAGCTGCGTAATGATTTTGTCGAGCTGGACCAGGGTATTTATAGCTAGCAGATCAGGGGCCGACTGAAGTTCCAAGACCCATGATTGGGGCTTCAATGGAGTAACACGCCTCCCAAAGCCGGACCGGATGGCCATGGACTAAGCCCCTCCCTGTCCTGTACTCGTGCTCACGCGCCTCACGCGCCATGAGTCTGGAAAATGATTGTTGTATCCATTTCACTTTGAACCCAGCCAATGCAATCGACCAGCCCATGGAGTTTGCCTGGGATCACGGTCTACCGCAGGGACAATGCAAGAACTACCCATACAGAGTAAATGCTCTAATGCACGGCTCGAACTCCGCCAAGTATCACATCATACCATCACAGAATATAGCCGAGCTTCAACAAGTAGCACCGCAACCTTGCTACATTCGACTAATGACAGGGCGCAGTAGACCGGACGATCGGAGATGAAGGACCAATCGGCCATGAAATTGGTAAGCAAGATGCCGCGGATATGTGAATGGCGATGGCGATGGCGATGACGGTGACGGTGTGCCGCTGCCGAATAGCCGGCCAGAGCCATGAATGAGGCATTTATGCCATTGGACATGGTCCTCCGAGGCGCAATTTCATCAGTATCCCAAGTAATCCAATCGCATAGCATAGCATGACACCCGGGATCAACATGGACTGGGGCGAGGACAGGCGCGCAGGGACGGGCGACCGCCGGAAACGGGTAAGACGGTGTGAGGGTGAGGGGTAGGAGGAACAAGCGTAAGCCGCAACGCGTAATCAGCCTTGCAGCCTGTTCGAGGCATCAGTCTCTTCGGCCCTTGAGTCAGGGAAGCGCAGATGGTAGATGGGTACCTTTGAAAACTGGTAGACAAAACGAGGTCCCGTACAAACAAGCGACGCATTTTCTGACAGTATAGGCTAGAGGGTAGAAAATAATGCATACAACCACTAGACAAAAGGCGGCAAAACAGAAGGGAGAAAATCCGATTCAGCTGAACAGCCGGTCAGAGCTGAAGGGGTGCCCTTTCCAGGATTCTGGAAGTGGAGGCGACGGGGAGAACGAGGGCGCAGCCGCAATTTCCGACAAGGAAAAAAGGAGGGGGGTGGGGTGGCGAACAAGGCACAAGGCAGCAAGATTTTTCATTCTCGGAGCAGGTGAGACGAGGGGGCCGCGATCGGGTGAGTGAGTGCAGAATATGGGAGGGGGGGATTGAGGGAAAAGAAGGGAAGTGGGTGAAGTGGGAGGGCCAGAGGGTAGGAGGTTCTTATATACTCGGAGGAGGTGAACGGGCGGTGATGACAGTACGGCGTATCGGGCGACTAAGCCGAGAGCGGCAAAACTAACTGCAACAGGAAATTCACAGGTCCTCAGATTACAACTATACTACCGTAATACGCAGAAGCTCTGACTGTTCAAAAAGCAGGGCATAGCAAATCATGCGCATTCCCAATCAGACTATGCCATGGTCATGGAGAAGCAGAGCTACTGGACTTCAAATTGTATTTATATACATATAGCTATCCCAGAATCCCTCCTTTCGACTTTTGCAAGGTATGTTTTGAATCGAGCTGAGTGACTAGTTCGTTGACAGGACAGCGACGGTGGCAAGTAGTCAGAAGTGATGAAGCTATACTAACGTTCGACTGTTTCAGTCCGTTTCCTTGAAGGACACAAGGGAGATCCTCCGCAGCCTGGTTTTCATCCGGATTTTCGGGATCAACAAGGATTTTGGCCCAGATCTTATGGCTGTCCTCAGCAGCTGCAGCTTTCACACCCGCATTTGCAGCGTTCTTGTTGGCTCAGAGGATCAACTCAAGTTTTCCATCCACCACTGAGCCTTTGATCGCAAATTGGATTTCGCGTCGTTCTTGAGAGTCCGGCTGGGGAAGACGCATTGTTGTAGTATTTGGGTGCAATACAATGAAGTGACAACCGAATTTGGAAAGCATGGACTGCTCTTTGTAGTATTTGATGGTGCCAGTCACTCTGGCAGGTCGTCATCCGGGACATCGTCAAGTTCTTGCCCTGCCTCCCAAGCTTCCAGCCATTCTGCCAACCTCCTGGGGGGGCCGGGTTGATCTGAGAACATTCCATGAAAGTTCTGGAT